TTCGAACTCCTGAGCGCAAACAATCCGCCCGCCTCGGCCTCCCAGAGTGCTAGGATTACAGGCGTGAGCCACCGCGCCAGGCCTAAGGGGGGAAATTCTTAAATTTCATCAAATTACACCCCATCCCCATCCCTTGTCTCCTAGGTTTAGATGAGGATCTAAGGCAGGGTCTAAACTACATAAGTGAGTTGTTTGAGGTTACATAGCAATTTGATTTTTGTGTATGTGTTTTATTTTCTCTTTTATTTGATGTCTTAGACTAAGCCCTTACACATAGTTGTGTGTTTTAGACATTAATTGATTATAAGCTAGAAATGCAGTAGAGCACTAATCAGGAGTATTTACCAAGGCACTTTCATTTTCGTTTATTGACGAATCATTTGTTATTATTCCTCCCCATGAGAACAAGCATTCAAATTAATTGGTAAAATAATAATAAATTATTGGTGAGCAATTAGCATGGGATTCATGTGCAGATAACTAAGAATAATTGCTGGGTTTCAGTGGCCCTTCTTGATTGTCTAGAGACAATTTGATACATTTAAATGTAAAATTAAAATTACAAGTATTGGCAGATTATCCAAATATGGAGTTACATGGATAGTAAATGTGTTTCAGTGGTCCAGACTTTTAAAATTAGAAGAAAAATCTGTGGCCTTTTTTTCTGCATATTTCAGTGCAATCCAACATTGTCATTTTGATTCATAGCCAAGATTCGGCATTATGGGTCGTGTGCTTACTACAATATCTTGAAGAGTAATGGCTTAAGCATCTATGGGCCTCTTTAGATTTGGGGGTTCTGGAATGGCATGTGGTGGACATATTTAATGATATTTGTTGAAAATATGCTATGTATAATTTATATCAAGATTTTCAGAGGGCGACATGAGAAGTAGAAGCCATGATCCAACATGCCCTCAAAGAGTTTGAAAAGAAAGTAAGAGGCAGGGAAATGAAGAAACAAAGAATGACAGTATAAGGACAGGCATAGCATATGTGTATGTGTGTGTATATATATATGTACAAACACACACATAAACACGTATATACATATATATGTATATAAATATGTTTAGAAGCAAATCTATAGAGAACTTCCTGAGCATGGGTGGAAGGTTGCTCAAAAGAGAAGAGAAGAATCTGGCATTACTAGAGAGAAGACTGGGAAAGAAGTTAGCCTTGATTAGTGTTCTGAAGAGGGTGAAGGACAGGGTTTGGAAAGCAGATTGTTCCAGTGGGAGGAGCTCAAAGGCCCCCTGTGGGTAGACCAGCTGGATGACATTTGGCAGGCAGGTATACCTGGCTCAACAGCATTCTGTGAGCCGAGGCTACTAGAGGACTTGTGGATCCATCGGTATCGTGACATTTGCAGTAGATCTTTGGGGTTCACATTTTTACATTAATTTTGCTGAAAGGGCAACAGCATGCCCTGAGGATCAAAGGGGCACCCAAGTAAGAAGAAAGTTCTGGTATATTGGCAACATTGATTTCATAATTCCTTCTCTATACCTGTTTGTTCTAGGGCTTTAAAAATGATTTTCTCATGAAAGTGTTCTGTGTGATTATTTCTCTTGGACTGGACTATCAGCAGTCACAGGGAAAGTGTCTTTTTTAACTACTCAAATAGTATGGATCTCTTACTTTGTGGCAGATTATTTGAGACTTCATTGTGAGTTTAAATGATGAAAATAGTCTCCATGTGCTTAATTATACATGAGAGAGAGAAATGTGGCCTTCACGACAACACGGAAAAGGAAAGAGATATCAGGTGAAAAAAAAAAAAAAAAAACAATTTCAACAAATCATAGACTGGTTTTATTTTCTAAGTATTATGTTTAACACTCTCAATGGTCTCTTCCCTGTAGTTGTTATATATGTACCTACTTGTATACAAATAATCATGAATAGTTTATTAACTAACCACAAGGCTAACTCTGCCTGCCCTTTGATTTTCATAGTCATGTGACCCCCACTCAATGCAGAGAAGGACTCGTCATCTGCTGAGACCCTCGCTGAGCTCAAGGACATGTGCTGAAGACTCACAGGTGCGGCCCTGCCTCCTTAATGAAAATTGCTTCCAGTTCCAGTACAATCTAACAGGTACAGTGGAAATCTATGACCTTGTGGTTTGCCCTGAACATTGACTAATGAGAGAATATTTGTGTATATTTTCATTCTTGGGATAAAGGTCGGAGAGCAGAATGTGTGAGTGTGATGCACAAAAGGCTGAGGACTTGATGTTTCCAGTGTCCACTCCCAGAACGAAATATCCAGTCTTGGCATGTAGATTTAGCAAGACCACCTAAATTCTTTGTACTGAGAGATGCTTAGAAAGATTGGGCAATGTTCCGGAGTTATGGTGAATTAAGCTGTGACAAATTGAAACAAACAAACAAAAGTAAGTAGCAAAGGGCTAATTTACCACTGAGAGATGAATGTAATCATACTGTCATAGAAGTTTTCTCTTTCATGGCTTTTATTATTTCAGAAATTCAAACTTGCGATGTACTTTCTCTGTAGGTCTCAGTAAGGATGAATGGCAGGTCTGACCTTGTCAGGGAAGTTTTAAAGGCCTTGTTAATTCAGCAGTCACTCTTACTCACCGCTCAAGTTTTTCCTAGGCACCACAGTGCTAAGTTTCTAAAACCAGAGAACTGTTACAGTTGCAATGATCTGCTACCTGCCATTCCCTGCAGCAACAGATATACAAAAAATACCATGAAATGTAGAACCATGATGAGTCACAGCATTGAATTCAAGACAACCAAACCACCACAGGCCTGCAGGGGCAAAGCACCCAGCTTATCTGAAAAAAATTCACAACTGCAGCCACATTGGCACTGCTGAGATTAACACCTTGTGGTGAATTCTTTGGGGCCGTCTGATTGTCTTTATGGGTGAAAGATGACCTTGTGTATTTGCTCTTTCTCTTTAGATTAAAAAAAAAACAAAAAAACTTTGGTTCTCATAGCAAGTTTTAAGAAATACAATGAAATTTTCTTTATTAGCAGAGCATATCTTTAAAAGACTGATTTTACTACACAAAGGTTTGCTATTCCTGTTAAACTCTTAGATCATTTACCTAATATAAAAAATATCCTTAAAGAGGTTCATATTGTATATGATCAAGGATTTTCCTTTCTACCCACATCAACAACCAGAGTTGTTTAAGAATCAAATTAATTATGGGATAATTTATTCTCTCTCTCCACTGACTAGTTTGTAACGTGACTAGCCAAATCTATGAAATCTTCTCTTATGATAGCCTAACTTGAAAAAAATTAGAGTTTCTGGAACACTTCCTACAGTCTTGTATGTCTCTCCCTCCTTCCTTTATGGGGCATCTCTCTTGGCTACACTGTATCAAATGTGCCAAATGGTTGACATGATTGGATTTATACTTGAAAACATTTTCAGGCTTTCACCAAAGATTGGTGTCTTAGTCTGCTGAGGCTACTTTAACAAATTACTATAGACTTGGTAGCTTATAAACAATAGAAATTTGTTTCTAACAGTTCTGGAAGCTGGTAGATTCAGTGTCTGGCAAGGGCCCCCTCCTCATAGATGGCACCTTCTTGCTGCGTCCTCACAGGATGGAAGGGGCAAACAAGCTGCCCTGGGCCTCTTTTATAAAAGGGACTAATCACATTCTTGAGGGCTCCACCCTCACGATCCAGTCACCTCCCAAACCCTTCCCTTCAAACACCACCACCGTGAGGGTTAGGGTTTTAATATACGAATCTGGGGGTCACGGAAACATTTAGAGCATAGCGACTGGCATGTGGTTGCTTTCTCTCCCAAAAACCCCCACAGATAGTTGATTCCAAACTGGTTTTTCTTTACTATCCTGGTTTGTGTCTTTCCTCTCCTACCCCGGCCAACTATGAGATGGTTTCTAACAAACCATTTGCTCTTTATCTCCAGAAAGGAAACTTAGGAAGGTAGCTCACTTTTCTTTGTTTACTTAGTTTTTTTGTTTGTTTTGCAATAAAAGAATTGTATGATTCTTTCCGAAGCCACCTGGAAATGGTTTTAGGATTATGTATGAACTATCCTCCACCAATGCAGATAATCAAGGTTTGTTGTATTTTGCTCACATGGCCATAATTATGAAACTCGGTGTGGGTGATCCTATGCCCGTAGAGTGGAGCACGTGCCAGCTGAGCGAAAATGCGACCTGTGGTCAAGGCGTCAGGACCCGCCTGCTAACCTGTGTGCGCAGTGACGGCAAGCCAGTCGCCATGGACCAATGCGAGCAGGTAATTTGGTTGTATTTGTATCTCACAACCGTGGCTTTGCCTTACTTAATCTTGGTCTTCAACCTCTACAGTGTTGGATAGAAATGACAGTCTGTGGTTTCTTCTTAGTCTAGGTTCAGCTGGAGTTAAGGTACTAGTATAGTAGTGTTATAGCTTACTAGCTTGAACTTAGTCAAAATGGCTGGGAAAGGTCATTTCGTACTGAGGAAAAGGGTTCATGTATATATTTTTTATTACTTCCAAAAACTTTTTAACTGTATCTGGTTTGTCAAACTGTTGACATTGGGTGACTTTAATATTTAGATATGACTCTTTGTATTGGGCAGGTGATAATTCTGTTAATTTGCGTAGCAAATGATTGCTAGATAAATAGCACAGTTATATTATTTTTCTTCTCAATCTCTGTTGAAATGCCTTTATACAAAGTTTCAAAGTAGTGGGTTCTGAATTTTTGTAATTTTATTGCCTTTCCTTTTTTTTTCCTTGACACAACTATATGATGTTAGGACAAAAAAGCTATAGTCAGACCAGTTCTAAAGAAGTTGGCATTCCCTTCCCAATGTATAAATGAAAAGCACTATAGAGGTAGTTTAACTGAAGTAAAGATGCTATCACTCTGTAAGAATCACTGAAACAATCTTCGGAATAAATTGGAAATAGGGAGCCAGTTAACTCATGTTTCTGCAGAAACCTCTTTAGCAAACTGGCAAAATAAAAATTGGTGCCATTTCTCCTAAGATAGGTGGAGAACATAAGTGGAAATTAAAACAAGACAAAACCTTCCTCACCTATCCTGACTTAGCTCCATTAGGTATTGTTGCAACATGCTCTGTAAACCAACAGTACAGCCACAGGCCAGGATACCAACGCTGAGACCAGGACATCTGAAACTGTATTTCCATTGGGGGAAATTCTGCAACTGACTAATATAGGGCAGAGTGCTGTCTACCAAGTATCAGTGATTTATTTTTAACATATTATTTCATTTAATCTACGTTTCAGAAAAAAAATAAATAAATCCAATTTACAACTCCAAATAAGTGAAAATCTTACATTTAGTATATGTAATAGTTTCTTTTGATACAAAGAAAGATATAAACTATTCATTAATAAAAAATAAGTTTCTCTTCTTTCCAAATAACATATGCTCAATAAATATTAATATTTAAAAAGACTATCAGTTTAAAGAAGTCCCCAATTATTAAGCTAACTAAAATATCCATATGTCTCCAATGGATCATAGATCCCATTGTGGTAATTTCTGTTTTACCCACTTGGAAATTCATCATGTTGTAATCATTAATTTCAACTTGGTGTGAATATTGCTAACATTTAATGTGTTTAATGTCAAAGTCTTTCTAGGTAAGCATACAAATACTGTGTGATTCCTAGAGCAGGAATTTTCATTTATTTTTTCTGTGTTTCTTAGGTGACTTATTCTTTTACTGAGACATCTTCTACCTTGACCAATAGAAAATTTGTACATTTTGCCTAGATGTTGGTTTCAGAGATAACTAGAGGAAAATAAGCTATCACCAAATTGTTCCATGGTTAAGACCATGATTGTGTTTTTAGCACAGTTGGTCTTTTTTATGGACTTCAGATAAGTCGTTGATTTTATTCCTATTTTACTTATTTTACAGCCTAGCCAGCTTTTAGTTTTGGCCCTCTGTGTGTATTTGGCTCATCCAGAATCACAAGGTGCCTGAATTTAGCACTGAAGTTTCCTTCTGGTTCCTTGCAGTCTGAACAACAGGACAGATCTCTGTGTCACGTGACCTCCTGCTTTCCCAGCACCTAATAGCAGGTCTATTCTAGAGTTTAGAATTTTACAGAAAGCAATTTGGGCCAACAAATATTTATTTTGTGAAGTGAGAACAACCATTTTCTGTGATTGCCACCAATTTATATAAGAAAGGATATTTCCCCCCACCAAAATGTGAAAAGGTTATTGTCACAGACTAAAGGACAGTCTTTCCCATAAAAGGACAGTTATTTGACTTGATAGTGATATGATTTCTCCAATGAAGTCATATTTCATTTCCATTTGCAGCACAATTTGGAGAAGCCCCAGAGAATGAGCATTCCCTGCTTGGTGGAATGTGTGGTCAACTGTCAGCTCTCGGGGTGGACGGCCTGGACAGAGTGTTCACAGACCTGTGGCCATGGAGGTATTTGGGTTCTCTGTGTTTCCCATGAAATAGTTTAGTCTTTTAAAAACCACTTTCAGTGTGCCATAGCTTGATAAATGTCATAAAGCATGGTGGTCAGCTGAAGGCAACATGAGCTGACCTGGGTGAAAGGGAAACAGACTGAACCTGGCCTCATGTCAGTGTGGGAGGGCAAGGCAGAGGTTGCAGCGCTGACCTAAGAATGGCGGCAGACTCCAGAGGGACTACCAGACCTGCCGCAAAACGTATATTTTAAGGGTCATAAGCTCAACCAGTTGAAAACCATGTTGGCCTCAGTGGTTTTGGGAAGAAGTATGTGTTGTATATGTGAAGCTGGCTACCGTGTAGGCAGTGGTTTAACATAATAGACTAGAGGCTTATTTTTCACCCATGTAAACAGAGGGGTAGTTTCTGCTTCAAAACTCAATAAAGGACACAGGTTGACAGAAGTTCTGCCGCTTTAACATAAGTAAGTTTCTCTGGTAATATCCCCTGGCTCTGCGGAGGTTTTTGTGGGAAGGATTGGAAGCAGTGTGCATTTCTTCCACTATATATTCTATTAGAAAAAATGTAGTCCTATGTCTCCAACTCAGTGCAAGTTGGCAGGGAAGGAAATGCAGTTTCTGGGTGGACAGTCGCTCCTCAGCAACAGTGTTACACTGTAGAAGAAAGGGAGTATGAATCTTTGGCGAACAGATACCGATCACTGCCACACAGTCCCAGGATCTTACTGGGTAAGTAATGCACAATGGCAAGGCCTGGGGAAGGCAACCAAAACTCAGAAGGTAGGCAAATGGAAACAGAGGTGGCACTCCAGCCAGTAGGCTGAAGTGGGGACCAAAACATGGGTCTATGGGAGAGAGCAACAAGGCCATAGCAGGAATGCACAGAGCTTGTTTAAGATAGAACTCTAGTCCTGACAGAGAGTTATAATTTATGACAAGGTAAATGTTAGAAGTTTGGAGTAGGGACCTAGGGAGAAATCCTGGTATATGATTAGATGCTGTCTTAGTCTGTTTGTGCTGTTATAACAGAATGCCTGAGACTCAGCAATTTATAAAGAAAAGAGGCTTATTTGGCTCACAATTCTGGTGGCTGGAAAGTTCAAGACTCGGCAGCTGCATCTAGTGAAGGCCTCATGTTATGTGAACTCATGGCAGAAAGCTGTGTTTCCTTGTGACAGAGCAACCCTGAGTTCGATGCAAAGTCCCGCAATCACTTCACTCCCCCTCCCCAGGCACAGGGATTCTCTCTCCACCTGCAGTGCTGGCAAGGAGCTGCCCGGGTGGGGGAGGGGCGGCGTGGGCAATGCAAGACTGTCTTCTTTGCCCTCTTTAGTGCCTCCTTCCTTGATATAATATTAAAACCAGGTACCGTGATGGCCCACCTGATTTTTGGTTCTTCTGAAGGTGTTTCCTTTGGTGGATAGTTGTTGAATTTGGTATTTGTGTGGGGGGATGATCACTGGAGGTTTCGATTCAGCTATCTTGCTCCACCCCCTCCATCGGTTCCGTTCTCGAAGGCTAAATAGTGGAAGTTTATTCGTATATCTCACAATTATACATTGGATGCTTTCCGCGTGCCAGGCACTCTTCCAGGAACTGAGAGTATGCTGTGCATGCCACAGAGTAGATCCCAGGCAAACAAAGCCCCCTTAGTTCGTAAACTTAATATTCTAGTGGCAAGATGGATGGTGAACACAGAGAGAAAGCAAATAAACAAGGAAGTAAACACAAAAACAATGGATGCCAAATGCTATGATGAAACTAAAACTGACCACTTGACGGGGAGTGAGGAGCAGGAGAGGAAAGGCCACTGAGGAGGTGACATTTACGTCAAAATTGAACAAAGTGGTGGCCTAACTCTTGTAACTAGGGTTTACTCGGCTACTTAGTGTTGATCTCATGGGCATTTTTTGACTACATGTTCTATTCATGACCCTGTGTTACGACCTTCAGAAAAAAATATGAAAACGCATGTTTTTCTATTTCTATTTATTTGTGTCCAATCTCAATCTTAAAAATAGAATAAATGGAGCTGTACAAAGAGGAATAGGACACATGCCCTTGAATTTTTAAGCATCTGCCCTCTGGACTGTGCTGAGGCAGGCTTTGCGGTTATATTGTATTAATATTATACCTCACCAGCCCCAAACTTCTCCCCCATTCCAGCCTTCTTGTTCCAGTCTGACCACACTGCTGTTCCTTGCTCATCACCCCTGTGGTAGATAGTAATGTTTTTAAAATGAGACAATTCTGTGCCTTCATCCTCCTACCACACAACCTGAAAACAGTAAACAAACAGTGGTAATGCAAAGCAGACATGTGTGGTACGGATGAACTTGTTTCTTAAAAGACACCAAACTCTGGAGCTGAAAAGATTGGAGACTATCATTGGGAAACATCTGCGGCTTGCTTCTTCTGAGATAGAGTGCCAGCAGCTGTCTTTTCTATGAGCAGCTTTCTTTTTTCCTACTGGTTGTATGAATGGGGCAGAGACCACAAGAAGAGACAGGGTTTATTTAATCATATTAAAGTGGGGAAGCGAGTTACATGGGAGTCAGACTTCAGCAGCTGCAGCTCTCGGCTGACTTCTTTATCAAAGACAAAAGTTCACACGATTACCTCTGTTTATGAATTTACTGAGTTGTCGGACAAAACCTGATGTGTTGGACGTCCCTGAGGCTTCCTAGTGAGAAACACTTCACCATCAAACCCACAGAGTTCCATTGATCTGAGGGGAAATTTTGAAATGAGCTCTTACTTTATTTTTCAAGCATCTGGGTTGCCTCTTTAATGTACACCTGATGCTTGGTATATCCTTTCTAATTGTGTTAAAGATTTCAAGGTCAGAACAGTTTGAATCCAATTTATTTCACTTTAGAGAGGACTGAGTCTAAGCTTCCACTAAGGGATCTTTGTAGATAGATTTCAAAGATCAAAGCCTGTAATAGAAGAGCTTAATATTTGGATTAGTCATGTTTTCTGTCTCTTGAATTTTCATCACTTTAGTGGAATGTAGAACTCTGTAGATTTAGCATATCATGAATTATTCATAATTATTTAACTGATAACACTCTAAGAATGTTATTAATCCCAGACTATGATTTTTCCTATTTTATATTTTTAATTCAATGTATATGAGCTTATAATATTTTTATATACTATATAATCTAGCCTACCTCTTGTGTTTCCCAGATGGCATATAATTTTTCTGTCAACTTCAGCCCATAATGAAAAAATAATTTTGTATTAACTTCAAAACACAACTTTGTGATTTCCAGACTTTTTTTGTTTCGTGTAGACTTCAAGGGCAAGCCAGTAAGTTTTATTTTTGGCATCTGCATACAATTTGATCAGTGTAGTATCCTTGATTGGGCAAAATCTGACAGTTATAACAGTTCGAGCTTATTTACTGTATCAAGTAATTAGTTCTTGTGGCAAGAGAACAAGAAGCAAGGTAGTGGAATGGGAAAAAAAGATAGACTAGACAAGAAACTAGAAGATCTCAGCTTTAGAGTCAGCTCTTCTAATGGCAAATTGTAGGACTTTGAACTGTTCATTCAATCCTTTGCAGAACATCTTTCTGTGTGTAAAATGATGAAATATTAGAGTGATTACTTTTTAATATCTGTTGGTCAAGGCTACAGTTACTGATGCCAGGAGTATATCAGTAATTCCTCACACTCGTACTATGAAGTATAGACTTAATTTCACGGGTGTGTTGATAGGCAATTAAGTTACCCGTCCAAGGTCACAAAGCCTGTCAGTTGTGGAGGAAAGAGTTGAACCCAAGTCCAGGTGTCTCCAGAGCCCACCTTTGTTCCACTGTGCCCCTTTGCATCTGGCATTTGGTAATCACCCATTGTGTACATGGCCCTGGGTTGGGTGCTATATCACTTTATAAAAATTCTTATAATTTATAGGTATATTTAAAAATAAGCAGAGAATGGCTCTTAAATTAGAACACAAAGGACAGTGAGATATACTAATGCTTTAAGAAGTCCCTCTGAATTTTAAGCCTCCTAAATATATTCTTGTCTAACAATCAATAATGTAATAATGTTGCATATTATCTAGTTCATCTAATAGGAATATACCTGCCAATCTTATAGAGAGGGAATGTGTGACTGATGGTGTTCTCTAGAAGAATGGACAGAGTAGCTCCAAGATTTCCAAAATCACTCTCTCTGACCTTATTGTGTCCCATGGGGGTTCCTTACGTGGGTATTGCAGCTGTTTATAGGTATTTAAAGTGGTCCATCAAGTTGTGTTCATTTTTGATGGGACTGAAATGTGGTTGTCGAGACTGGAGGTGAACAGTTAGAATGTATATACATGTCCTACCACTGAAAAGTCTGGAGTTTTTTATATCCAAGCGAGGCCAAAAGTGCTTAATCTTCTGCCCATAAAAGACTATCCTGCCCCAGCGATATCATGGTTCATCTTGACGTCTAAAACTGTGGTCTTTTTACTTCTTTGGGTAACTGGCAGAGAGATGACCCAACTAGTATTAGATTTTCTTTTACTCTGGAAAGCCTATGGAATTTTTATCTTGCCTAAATTGGATGTTCTCTAGAAAGAAGAACGTTTGGATGCCTGAAGCAATTTTCAGACAAGCCAAAGAATCCCTCTGTAGGAGAAACCCATGAACTGTAACTCTAAGTGAAGAATCATCACTGCATCTTCGATCTCTGACAAAGCCAAACACATGCTGAAGAGCTACCTTTGCAGATCAAGACTGTAAATTTTCTCCACTGTTACATTGGAAAAAAAGCTTGATCTCAAATTCATGTCCACCAGGATATTTAAAACAAATTTTGCACTTAAAATAAAAGTTGAAAAAAATTTCAGATGATATTTGTTAAGAGAAGTGAAAATATATTTTAACCACTTTTTAGTAGATGTCTGGCATAAAGAGCCACATGAAATTAATTGAGCATTTTGTATGCAATCTGACTTTCCACTGCTTTCAGAAATTTACTCTGATTAGTACCCAAA